TGACAATATAAAGTATATAATTATACTCATGAGTGTCATTAAGACCCCTTCTATACAGTCACAGTGGCCTTTCTGTGTATGGGAATGTCATCATGTATGAGTGTCTTTCTGTCCAGGTGTTCCTAACTCTGTCATGTTAGGAGTTTGACTGCTATAGATCCCTTCAATAAAAAAAAAAAAAAAAAAAGCACAAAGGCCTCAAAATTCAATTCATTTACAGCGACTCTTAGAACCCTACAGTCATTTCAGAGACCCTGCTCTCAAATCAGGCTATCCAGGAACATTTGAGAAGGATAAAGTAAGTGATATTTATTTTCCAAGGAATCATTCCTTTCTGTTTTATTTATAATGTCCTGTAAAATGAATTTAACAATCTTCTTTATTTTTCACTCAAGTTAGTTCAATTATCAAACATTTACTAGCCATGTACTATGTGATAAATACTTTAGCATATAAAGAACACCCCATATGCTAAACTAATATATTAGTATACTTTAAAGATAGATTACCTACAGCTACATAAATAGTGCAGAATATAATTAGTCATGGCTAAATAACAGTCTGGCCCCATAGTAGGCCATATTTTATGGAGTCCTCAGATTCCACTGTCACCTGAAAATGACCCCTAGGTGTGATTTAATCTAACCTTTATGTGCCACTGTGGTGAGAGAGAAGTTTGAGCAGCTCTGTAACTTTACATCAACATCTGCTTGACAGTTTTGTGACTCTCTCGCTCACCAGCACACCATCCTCAGACCTTGCTCTTCTACAAAGGATGAGCAAAGCTTCAAATCTCCCACACTGCTGCTTTCTCACTTGGAATACAAAAGTGGCTGAAGGCCCATGCTTCAAGAAGGACCAGATAAGTTTTCCGTGATGATATGGGTATATCATAAGAATGTATATAAAAATGCTACAAATTGTGTCATTTCTTCATTGACAACCTTTGTATCTTTGCAGTATGTCAGGTAAGAGAAATTTCCATTTTGTACTATATAGCTTTAAACCCTTTCACAAGTTAATTCCCTATAATTCCAGTTTGTTTTGATCTAATATGGCAGGGTTTCACTATAACTCTAAGCAAATAATGATTTCATTTTTTAAAAGTTTACATTTCTTAATCTTTGTGCCAAGTTTCCTAAGCAGTTGAGGAATAAAAGCAGTACATATGTTTGCATTTTACAAGCAATTAGACAATTCCTTAGTAGCTATGGTTACACATAAAACATCAGGAAGAAAACAATTTTTTTCTGCAAAGGTATCATTCCATGAGGAAAAAAATCTGAAGAATTTTTTAAACAAATTGCCTATTAAGGCATTCTTCTATCTACTCCACTGAAATATACGGCTCCAAAGGTCAGAGTAAAAGTTATATAGTTCACCTAAAAACAAACAAACAAACAAACAAACAAAAAACAAAAAACCCAAAACCAAAACACTAAAATGTTAAAAGGAGATTTTTTTTTTCTTTTTATCAAATGTCTCTTTGACATGGATGTAATTCCAGAGGCCTAGACAATACAACGCAGTGTTTGACGTCTAAATAGTAAAACCATCTCAGTGGGCAAACACTCACTGAAAGCACATAAGCCTTTGGTAGAATCACCAGTGTTTCACTGTATGGTTCATTTACATATTTCAGTCTGCCAAGCCCGTGTGTATGAGCTGGCTCAACAAAAATGGTGGGAGGGACTAAACCTGAGAAGCCATATGAAAACTTTCAAATAAGCATCAAACGAAACCTTCACAGAACTACATAGGTCAGAAATTACACAATGGCCCTCATAGGTCAAGATCAGAAGTTTGGACCTTAAGTGTTACAGTACTATTTGTCGTTTACAAAATAAGTTCATTTTAGATGGGTTTATGAATACGCTTTTGCACAAAATTTTTGTTTCTGCTTCTAGGATGGATGGTTTACAAAGCACTGGTTTACAAAACAGGGAGGATTTCTAATTGGTAACCATCATTGAAATGATGGCTCTGAAACTCCTTCGTGTGCTTATGCTGACGTACCCGAGCTGTCGGCAGGCCTTCCTTGTGTGTGAACTCAAACACACCATGCAAACATTGCTCTGTGGCAGTGAGTTGCAAAGATACACCCTCCGTCAAGAGCAGCAGTTACGCCATACTTGTCTCTAACTTAAGCCAACCTGTGTGCTCTGAGATGCGGGGTGATTCTGACCTGTTCTGTCCAGTTTGTCCTTTCACCTAGATTGTGCGGAACTGTTAGGGACATGTCATCTCTGAGGTATACCTGGGAACTCTCAGCCCAGGCCTATCACACTTTCATCACTAAGAATGTTGTTCCCATGATGTTCCCAAAGAGAATGTTCTGGTCACACACATGGTAGAATGAGTTTGATTATCAAGAAGGAAACTGAGTATACATTTTTTTACCTTGGTTTTCGCGTTGACATTTGCTCCCTGTTTCAGAAGGAAGTTGACCATTTTCACATTTCCATAGTGACAGGCCACAATTAAAGGAGTGTAACCAAGCTGTGAATGACAAATCCGAAAGGGCAAGTATTATATTTACAGTGGTTAATAACCAAAGGTAAGGTTCCGTTTATTGTACCATGGTATCATTTGAGTGCAAATATAGGATGAGCCGTCCTGAACCACACAGGACTTTCCATCAGCAAGGGATACTGGACACCCAGGTGACCTGACCTAGCGGAAAGAACTGCGAAGTGCAGAGTGATAGAAACGCCAGTGGGAGGAAGGCTTGGTAGGACAAGTAGGTGGAGGTGGCAAAAGGTGGTGGGAAGAATGTGAGAGCTTAAGATGGGAAGGTGCACCGCAAAGGTACGTCGTCCGGACGTGACATCCCCATGGCACTCATAAACTCACTGCAGCTGCTACTGCAAAAGATTTACACAAGGTTGGACCCATCGATATTTCATCCTGAATGGGAGAGGAGGCCCAAGGGGCCCCTTCCTTCCCAGAGGGACTATGGGCAATTAACACTTGTTTGGGGAACAGTGTCACTGTCTTCAGTAGTGTAGCTATGGATAAACTGCATGAAATCACTTCTTAGCCACGTTGAGACAAGGAAGTCTCATTAAACACAATAGCCCAAATACCAAAAAAGGTGGCAGGAAAGTAGGAGGGGGTGGCATATTGAGAAGAAGGGTACTGGTGGAAGAGGAGTGGATGAGGGAGGGGAAGAGAGGAGTGAAAATGACTACAGTTAATTATATAAACAAATGACATTAAAGCAATAACAAAAAGAATGGGTGAATAATCAATAGTACAGAGAGGATCAATCCACCTCAAGACCAAGCATGGAGCAGAGCAAGGACAGGGCCAAAGCAGTGAGGCATATGTTAAAGGAGTTAAAGCCAAAATGAGAGGGTGGGCGGCGCCCCACAGAAAGGGATGAGTCCTGGGGTCACTCCCTTCTGATTCTAACAGACCCAGGGAAGCATGGGAAGATTTCTCCTTTAGAACGAACTGTTAAGAAAAGGGACCTCAGGCATGAGCTGACCTGAATGAGGCCGAGCAAGAAGCAGCCAAACCAGAACTGGTGGCCAAGAGATCTGCTGTACCTTTGTGGAGGCGTCCCGGTCAGCCCCGTGTTTGGTGAGAGTGTCTGCAACGTTCACTTTGTCTTCTTGGGCTGCAAGGTGTAAGGATGTGAGTCCACTCTGTAGTGAGAATGGGAGTAAAGGAGCACGTCAGAGAGGGGAGCACGCTGTCATCTGCAGGAGCCTGTCTTGAAAGGAGCCAGAAAGCATATGGCCGCTCTGCAGACATACCATGTTCTAATGCTTGGAGTGAATGTGAGTTTTCAACCAAGATCTATTCTCAGCAGCAAATTGCATTTTCTGTATTTTGTATTTATGGTGTAAGTCTCTAAAACAATTCATCTAACGAGCTTCCAAACAATATTCATTTCAAGCCTACCTACACTCCTCATGAATCTTATTTCCTTAAATATTGGACCAAAACTATTGCTGCAACTTTATAACCTTGGCAATAATCAATATTTTAATCAATAGAGTATCATGTTAATGTTAAAAATATATTAAGTTACTGGAAGCAAGCTCTGAATATTTTTTCCAGTACTCAGTTTACTTTGGGGGAAGGGGTTGCCTTCAAGATGGTAATTTTTTAAAGTAACCTTATCATTTATAGAGAAACATAAACCTTGGCAAATTTTTATAAAAAAAAAAGTTTATTCTTAAAGTATCCAGTAAACAATGTGTTGATTTGAATACATGGACAAAGTACAGTCACAAATTCATTTTTTTAAAAAAAAATCAAGAAATAGTGAGGAGAGAAGCAGTTTATCCAGCTAACACCATACCCTGGTAGTCTCATTCTATACGAACAGCTTTCCTCAAACAAAACAGATTCAAGGGTATCAAAAATAATTTCAGCAGGCAGCTTTTGAGCACTCTTCTTATACTAGGAAGAACTCACAGGACTTGGACATAGCGATGAGCCAAGCTCTTGCCTATAGAATCCATAGTCTACCTTAGAGTATGCCCATGCTCTGTATTCCTCCTCTCGAACTCCTTTTGTATATACACACATTTAGTATTTTCAGTGGGTACTGGTCATTGCCCCTCAGGCCTCAGGCAAGCCGCACAAATGCCTCACTATTAAGTCACAATCTCAGCTCCCTTTTTACCTTTTAGTATAAAACAAGGTCTCTCTGTGGGGTCCAGACTAGTCATGGATCCACTTAACAGCCCAGGCATGTTTTGGGTTTCTGAGTCTCCTGCTTCTGCCTCGTATTAGCTGGGAGTACAAGCCTGCACCATCGAACATTTCTAACAGTGTTGGACCTATAAACTGTGTAGCTGCCTTGCTCAAGGCCAGCTGATATTCTGGTTAACTGGCCAGCCCCATTGACCCTGCTAGAAGGCTCATTCCCATAGTAGCACTGAGGCTGAGAAAACTGACCACAGCCTTCAAATCCCATGGCTTTCAGCAGCATAGTCCTATTCCTGGAAATTAAGACACCCTAACTATTGAAAACATGGGTGGTGCCTGCTGCTAGAGTGATTGCAGGTGTGGCTGACGTGTCGCATGTGTGCCAGTAAGTGGCAGGGGGGAGAGAGGCCATGTCTGCTCTCCATATTCTGACCTGTGAGCATCTGAGTGATCAGGAGCCTAATACTCCCTGAAAAAAGTGAGCCTGAGATGACCACCAGTTTGGCACTGGGGGCTGGCACAGGGAGCTAAGTTGAGAAGACCGTCCTGGAAAGGCTCCCAGGACAGGGAGCAAGCTGGAGACTAGAAGAACCCCATCTGGGATCTTGGGTCCCTGGCATGAGTGAGCCTGAAACAGGTGACCCTCGAAAGAGACCAGTTAGGCAGGCCTGGGCATGGAGCAAGTCCAAGAGGACCAACAGACTGGTGCCATGGGTCCCAGATAGGTTGTTAGCAGGAGATGACCACCAGTCCTGCACACCACAGGCCTAGGGGGCAGATCATGCCCAAGATGACCCCTGCCTGGCACCATAATGCACAAGCAGGGCATAGCGCCCTTGAGACCACTACTCAGATAACTGCAGACATTCAGAAACCCCAGGTGCCACTAAGAGGAACAAGTAAAGGGTAAAGAAAGAGAAAAGAAATAGAAACAGAAGGATGTGGGCATAATGAAGAGAGGCAGATCTGGAGATTTGAGGGTAATGAGGAAAAGCCTGATATGAGTAGCCAGTGATGCCATGTGGGAACATGGTAGGGTCCAGGCATGTGCTGCCACCAGGGGTCACATCTGGGTCAATGACCATGCAGCAGCAGGGGTCTGTTATCACCAAAGGCTAGGCAGATAGACTTGGTCTGGGCTGCCACCTGGAGACACGCTGATGTCGCAGGGCTGTGGATAACTCACCCCAGCCCTCACCTGGGCAGAGCTGGGTCTGGGAACATAAAAGCAGGTGAGCTGCAGTGCTTGGGAGAGCAGGCCCACACACTGAGGGAGTTGTGGGAGAGCAGATTCACACACAACTCCCTCATCATGTGTTTTGCAACAGACTTGCCTCCCCGGCACAACAGTCCCTGCTCCTCATGAGAGCGGGCTCTGCACCTTGCTTAGGCAGCCCAGGAGAGCTGATTCAGATGGCATAGGAGTGGGTAATCCAGCCCTGAGGGCATAAGCTCAGGAGAGCCAGCCCCACAACTTGTCTGCTGTATGGCAGTGTGGGCAAGGGAGAGATGAGATATCCTTCCCCACCCTTATCTAGGACAGGCAGGAGGGCTGGCCCTGCCCCTCACCTAGAGCAGCACTTGGCCTCTCCTCCCCTACATCTCACCTGGTAGCACAGTAGAGCAGCCCCTGGATGCAGGGGTTGCAGGTGAGGGGGCCTTGAGGGTGTGAGGGTGTGTGTGTGTGTGTGTGTGTGTGTGTGTGTGTGTGTGTGTGTATGTAGAAGAGCTGGCCCTGCCTCTTGTCTGCTGTGCAGTGGTGAGTACTAGGGGGAGTGGGAGAACTGGCCATGTCCCTCACCAGATGCAACACTCGGAGAAGAGCGGGTCTTGTACCTCACCTGGGCACCAGAGTCCTGGTTGCAGGGCTTGCTGGTGAGCCAACCCCGAGCACATGAGAGTGAGAGGGCAGGCTGACCAGCTCAGACACCTCTCAGGTCCAGATCCAGGGCTTTGAATTTGCCCACCCCAACATCTACCCTATAGATGAATGGCTTGAGTGCACAAAGGTGCCATGTCGGTCCTACAGATACAAAACTACAGGATCCCCACGACACAGGACAACAACAAGATGTTTTAGAGGAGTCCCAGAGATGTTCCAGTATTAATGGTGTAGCAAAGGCCTCATACCAGACCAACGAGTCATTGCAATGAACATTAACAAGCAAACAAGTGTGGATGAAAGGGTTTGCTGTGGGACACACTGTGACAGCAGCTGTTTTCCTTCATTGGAGTGTGGGAGGTCACAAGTGTGGAGAGCAGGTAGGAGGGGAGAGGGAGATGAGTGTGGTTGGGGTGCGTGATGTGAAATTCACAAAGAACCAATAAAAAGTTGAAGACATAAGAACAAAACGAAACCATGGGTGTCACATATATAGAGAAGAGCATTCTATGACTCAGCAGGAGGCTTTCATTTTCCGACTTGGTGCTTGCTAATCCTTGAGCTAGCTTCGCTCAGCTGTGAGTGTCAGAAAACATTGGCCTGAGAAAGAAATCTTTTTGTATTAAAGTTCTGTCACTTATAAACAAATATTATTTAATCCTACAGCATTAAATCTTAATATTAAGACAAAGCAGAAGATACTTAGGAATCTGAATATTAGCAAAACCCAGAAGATTTATTTTTCTTCAAGTTGTTCTTTTTTTTTTTTTTTCTTCTTGAGGCAGAGTGTCACCATGTAGTCCTAGCTAGCCTCAAAGTTAGGATCCTCCAAAACTGAATAATTTTCTTCACTTCATTGCCTAGTGTGCAAGTAAAAAAGCTCCTTAAATACTTGCTGTTTGGCTGCTTGAATTCTTCGAAAGCGAGTGATATATTGAAAGGGACATCATCAAGGAGAGCAGAGTGAATCCACTCTACATATTTTGAAAGTTAAAAATTACACCACCAGAAACACTGTGTGATCCATTTCACAGACTGTCCAGAATGTTTCTGTTTGAGTTGTTGGACAGAGCTGACCAGGAGGCACCTTAAACACTATAGGACATTTATCTTGATTGACCATCAGAGCTTGATGATAAGGCCTCATCAGTGAAGTCACCACACACTTTGGTCACAGGACATGAGAAAATCAAGTGTCTATTGGGCAGGAAGCCTCCTCCTTACTAAGTAGTTTTCTCAGTGTCTGGAGGTGCTATGCAGGCTAACAGTCACACCCAGCTGTGACCTTTGAACCAGTAAGGACTGGCTTGACTAGCTATGCCAATGGGTGCAATAGTGCCACAAGTGTCACGACAATCACCCACTGCTTTGTGAATGGATCTAAGGCTCACTCCCCAGGAAACCACGCACGCTTGGTACTGAAACTGGCTAACAACCTGTGGCTTGGTGGGGTGAGCTCACGGGCTCCAGGAACGAATCAGCTACTATTATTCTGCTAACTGGACACACCATTGAATATGTATCTACCTGTATTATTTAGTATAGCATTCTGACCTCATTAGAGAAGTTTCTTTGTTCAGTAGAGAGTGGTTGACATAGAAACAGGGCTGATTAAAGTGGAGAAAATAAGTATCTGTGGATTTCTCAGCCACAAACACAAACAGATGGAAATATCACCCCCATCTCCAGGACCGAGGGAACATCATGGAAGAAGAAACAAAAAGATTAATCGGCAGTCGCCAACACGAGTCTTACAAAAGGTGTAGCTACTCAATCTTCCAGCCTGGGATGAGGAGAAGGGCTCGTGATCACCTAACTGAGGAGATGTAAGCTGTTTATAGCTTCTGTGGATGGGTGAGTCGGTGTCTGTTTTGGGTAGGACCGCTGGTCAACCCACTGTCACTGTGGATGGTTCCACACTCATCTGTTTATGGGCAGAACAAAGTGGACTCCATGTTTTATTGTTTTGTTTTGTTTTTGTTTTTAGAAGAAGACATGAGATTAGGAGGGGTCGGAAGATGGCAGAATAGAAGAGGGAAGAGTGAGGAACAAATATGACCAAAATACATTGAATGACAATCTCAAAGAATTAATGAAATATTATATATTAAAAGGATTTTAATCTACTCGAGATGGCTCTTAATGTTTAAAGAAGTTTCCCGTAATTATTTTCAAATGATTTTTTTTAGCAGACAATACACAGTTCCATGTCTCCTTAAATGGATATTAAACAGAAATATTTTGTATCTCAGTGTCAGGATTTCCCCACCTGGGCAAATAATCACCTCAATGGCAAGATTTAAATGTGATTCAGACTTTCCCTACTGTCTGGATGATATTAACTTTCACATGTTAGGTTTTATTATGCTTGTTAAAAAACACAAGTCTGGGAAGACTATACCAGCTCCATGATGTGATTTAAATGTGTCTGCCAAAATTTCAAGGCAAAACTAAATTTCCAAATTTACATATTGATGCTCTTTGAAGTGGGGTCTCTGGGTGGTCTTAAAATTTTGAGAGTCCATGGGGGTGATGTTCCCTTCCTCTATTTGTGATGCTCTCCCACACATCAAGATAAAGAAAACCCTCACCAGGTGCTGGAGTGGTGCTGATGTCATCCTGCTGGATTTCTCAGCCTCTGGATCCATAAACCCACTCAAACTCTCAAGCTCTATAAAATCCCCAATCTCAAGTATTTTGTCATAGCAAGAGACTAGCACATTATACTTCAAAGATCGGAGAGAACTTTTGATGAAAAGGACTTTGGACACAAAGATGAAGGATGCAGGGGGACACTTATGAGCGATAAAAACAGGGACCAGAGCTCTGGACACACTGTCCAATCTGTCTGTATCACGGCTCTTCTAAAGAGCTTGTGTTAGATAACCCCTGTAAATGCTGGCAAGCCCATTTGTACTTGGCATTCCAAAGTACAAACAAATTGAAAGCGTAGTATTTGTAGGACACCCTAAGAAGCTTAATTTTTATTTTCCCCAATCACACGGCACAAAAAGCACCGAGAGACTCAAATGGTGAGTTAATAAGCACAGACTTGTAATTTTCAGTTTCTCAGCAGCTGGCTCAGGGTTGATCCATGTAAGTCTGTGGTAGGCATAAGCTTTCATATTTGAAGGATTTTACCCTTATATTCTTGACTATTATAATTAGTATGGTCATCTACAAAGGCGACTGAAGGGAAACAAATTACCGTAGGGCTTTCTCTAAAAATATTTCTAACCAGAGCCATTACCTAAGGTAGGCTGAAGGTGCCTTTAAAATCTGTATCTCACTAAGTTCTCAGGGCACCACTAAGAGGTAACTCTGTTGTTCGGCTTGGGTGGTAGATGTGGTCCTGCTAGTCAGATTCACTTGTTCAAGCCAACTTCCGGTTGGAGCCACTTTTTCATTTTCTGTCCCTTGATCCTTAGCCGCTTTCTTATGGTAATTTGCAGTTACAAACAGCAGAAACTAGGGCACCTAGGGCACCGTGTGGGTGGTGGAAATGCAGCAATCTTAAGTCCTGGGGAATATGGGCTGGCCTTTTGAGATGTTCACACGGCATGGAGGTGCTGAGAAAGCAGGGCT